TATTGCTGGTCACCAAAGGCAAAGGTGGAGGGATAATATTCCTGTGTGTGTTTGTCCGTACAATTYGCAAAATATCTCATTAACAACATTTATTAACAGTCATTAACATAAATTAATGAAACATTCACAAAATCATCATAATACGACATCATAGTCATCGTAATTATTAGGTTGACTTCTAGCTGTTTAGCTTTTGAAATCTCACCAATTCACCATCAAACTTTGAGTAGGATAATTACCCACAAATGTTCATAGCTCAATGATTTTTACAGCTGTTGAGCTATAATTAGTTGTGGTACCTGAGCATTGTCTCCAACATCAGTGAAACTCTATTACATCTACAACTGATTAACTTTTGYGGGGTAAACCCAATTRAAAATGGCCACCAGTGCTATTTAGATTTTACCTACACAAAAGTGGCATACCTCAGTCAATTTTGCAAACCATTGAGCTACATTTTAGCATGGTAGTAGCGGACAGTCGTTCACAACATAGCAGCTAAAATATCATCAAGGGCCACATGAGCATTATGGTGGCCCTCAAAGAACAAGCCTAGTTGTYATTAATGTTTCATGTTTACCTTAAACTTAACATGAAACATCCATGTATCATCGCTGCATCTGAGCAACGCCAACAAACAATAACTGAGCTCTACGTGGTATTTCCTGCTTAGAAACAGTTTTAACACATTCTTTTATAAACACTGAAAAGTACGATGTGTACAACTGACMGAATGTGAAACAAATAATACAGAAATACTATAAAAAGTAAAAGTAAGAGAGTTTTARMCACTGTTGAGGTGTGGTGAGTAGCTGCACTCCCACTTTTAAATAGAGACTGGAAYCGTGTTCCTGTGATTTGTCTTMWAAGTGGGAAARTCCCACTTCCCAGTACAATGGAGCCAAAGCAATAGTAGRTGGTGAAAATTCAGTGAAATGTAAATTTTACAAAATGGGTTTTGCCTCCTGCTGCCCACTTTTGAATCATTTTCACCTCCACCTAGTGGTAGGATGCTGTCATTTTGTGGGRAAAATAATCAACATGCATRATGGGAAATGTAGTTTATTCAACTAAATTGCACAGGTGGTCACAGTTACTTAAAGCCAACAGCTCAGGGGCCTTAGAAGTATTACTTTTTTTGCCTTTTAAATTTGCTTGTTCTATCTYTTTATACATTTGGCAGCATGATTAGCACTGGTTAGCACGTGGTTAGCACTGACGCCTCACAGCAAGAAGGTCCTGGGTTCGATCCCCAGTTTGGACCCAGGGTCTTTCTGTGCAGAGTTTGCATGTTCTCCTCATGCTTGTGTGGGTTTTCTCTCTCTCTGGTTTCCCCCATCCGCAAAAAACACGTACAATAGGTTGCCTTCAGGCCCAGGCTGTCCTTGAAAAAGAGATCTGTGATCTCAATGGGATTTGCCTGGTTAAATYATGGTAAAATAAAAAAATATTTAATTAAGTAAAAAGAGGGTATGATGCAAGCCACATGCAGGCCTTGAGTTTGACATGTGTGCAGATCATGTGAGAACATTTAAGATATTGCAATGTCACATAAGACTGCACAAAATGTTACCTTCAAGGTTTGACTTAAWCAGCTTTAACTTTGTAATGGCATAAGATGATCTCAATTCAAAGTTTTGGTATCAAAGGCGGCAGGCACAAAGCAAAAGAACTGTAATGCCTCTCATATCTAAAGTGTATAAAAAWTATTTTATATAAATACTCAGTGTTAGCTTGTTGTTACAATARGTTAAAGAATAATTAAACTGACTTCCTCAAATTCTAACCTTAATTATAAAATAATTTGATGCAACTGCTAAAATTCACTGTCTTTAAATTCCTTGGCTTGCTTGTGGATAAASTGCAAAATCTTGTTAGAAAGCATTCCTCTCTGCCATGGCCATTCCTAGACATACATAGAAAAAAAGCAGAACCATTCTTTGATTTTTCAATATATGTATGCAAAAGAAGGCATTTTAGCTGTTTTAATCTGCTAAAGTAGTTTTCACCAACTGTGTAAAATAGGTTAATGCTAATAGAAAATTTTACCACCTCATCAAGACGTACTTCTGTAAAACATAAAGAGCTCTAAAAGGTTCTTCAGCCTGAACACGTATGCCAACGAGCTGAAGCTAAATTTAACAAAGACAAAAATAGAGGCAGCCTCGTGCTATAAATGGCTCCATAACTAATTCAAATCTGTCTTCATTCGACTACAATTTGGCTGCTCAGCTTTCAAATCATCTTATTTTCCATTCTTCAAGTCTTTCTAACATGACGGGACATGTAGGATTTTTTTTATGATTATGATGTCTTACATTCTAACTTTGACAGCTGCTGTGGGATAGAACAGCTGGCGGCAATCTTTTCCTGTACCAACACTAATCTTTCTCTTCATATTTCATTGAATTGTCACATTGTGCTTTGGGCTCAACAAGTGCGCCTTTTATGAAGAGAGCATGAAGAGAGATGAGCACATCTGCAGTGATTTGATTTGGCATCTTGTGTGTTTTTTTTTTTTTAAAGATGATGGGTAATTAGGTGTTTTACAATGCGAGAGGTGCCGGTTCAAGCCCTGAGAGGGAATAGGAAAGCCACGTGCATTAGTCATAATGCTGATTTATCGAGAAACAGTCTCCGCGGTGGGCCAGCTGATCAATAATTTTGCACGCCACAAAGTCCTGCATTTGTGAACGTTGGATGTGATTGCTCCCAACAAGAAAAGCTTCAATGAAAAATTAAAAACAAAACACAAACATTATTTATTTTTATACCAGTGTTGGTTTTATAGTAATTTTTTTCTTTCATTTTTTTGTAATTAGAATAACAAGATCTTGTTGCAATAATCTTTCAGTAGAAAGTGCAGAGTTTGGCTGGAGGTGCAGTTAATCACTCCACTTCATTTTCTTTAAGTTTGCTTGCCGAGTTTATCTAATTGATCCCCCAGCTCTGTTCTCTCCTATAGAATGCGCACGTTTTTTTTTCAACACAGACAAAAATCTGATTCTCTKTGGAGTCTACATTACGAAACGCGCTGCTAAATCTGTGGAACTTCAAAGCTGTTTTTCTCTGCTCTCTCGCCAGGGTCATCACAGATAGCCAACAACTATCTGGCTCCCCAGGCAAGACTTAAAGCTTTGGCTTTTGGGTTGTGATTAGAGTTCAAACTTTGGTTCAGCATTCAGTCGACCAGCAGCAGCAGCAGAAGTAACAGCTGTACACACATGTGAGCCGAGGCAGAGAGAAAAATATGAAAAAGATATATATTGGCAAAACAGCCCTGAAAACCCAGAGAAATGGATGCAAACATCCAAAAAGAAGGTAAGATGAGTCGATCCAACCTCCAACATCAACCTCATAACTTTTTCTTATTTTAATTTAATTTAATTTAATTTAATTTTACTCCTGAAAACATTTTATTGGGAAGTCAGGAAGCAACAAAAAGCATGTTACATCTATTCATTTTCATCAATCATTTTCACGTATTTAATTATCAGCTGACATCTGCATTCAAGTAAACAATCCTCTGAATCTGATCTGCTATGTACGATGAGCAGGGCCACACTAGAAGATTATTTTTAAATTCATTGTAAAATTAGAAAAAAGTTGTATGACAATGAAGTCATAAATTGGGAAAAAGTAAGAGCTTGCAAACTTGACACAAGTGTGCTTAAGAGCAGAAAACAGGTGGTATGAAAGGGGAAAAAAGGGATTAATTATGGAGGATTGTATATTGTAAGTGAAAATAATACAAGAACTAAGCATCCTGTCTATAGTAACTTTTTGAGTAATCTCTGTGCATCTGTCTGTGCAAGTGCACGGACAAACAAACCAATGCTACTAAAAACATAACCTCCTTGGTAGAGGTAATAACCTAAAATACCCCAGCTTATATTAATCCAAAGGAACCAAAACCAGGACCTTAAAATAGTACAGACCTGACCATGCTGGACATATCATCTAGCAACTTCTCTGACTTGTTTTGTTTTTTGATTTTTTTTTGCGAGGGGGGTTTGTTGCTAAAAAAAAACCTAACAGGATTATATTTTAAAAAAGAGCACTTTGAAGTGGGTGTTATTAGAGTTATAAGATTTAGGTTGTGAATGGTCTTCATGCCAAACAATGAGGGGCTTTCTTCATACCACTGAGATGATGCAAGTACAACAAACATGCCCAAACAGTTGGACCTCTATGACCTCTAAGCATAATGACATATATCTCAGCCTCTCATAGGTAATGGTGGTAGAGGGATGGTGCTTGTTGCATSGAGACAGTTTGAGAGCAGAGCATCCATCAGTCCAGCTAAAAGCTAAATCTCCTCAAACACTCACCTCTGCTGCAAAGCTCCAGCCTTTCATTACCACACTCATTCCCTCAGTCATCTTGTCAGTGTGTCGTCCCCCCCCACCCCCAAAACCTGCATCAAACGTTCAAAGTAATAACGCTTCATGTCTGATAAGTTGCTGCTGACATTAAAATGATAGAACTTTTCCAGCCACTCAGTCTGTCTCAGGCTCTTTTTTTGCTTTCTGTCTCTTTACAAAAAAATATCTGTGAACCATCTCATATTTTCCAAACCCTCTTCTATAAATTGCCAAACATTGTGTTCTGGGGCAGAAATCCATTTGTTCTCTTTCAGAAATTCGATAGGAGAGTTGTGTAATAAAATTCACCATTACACCAGTGGGAGATCTTTTTTTTCCCAGCTCTGCTCCCTCCATGTGAATAGGAAATTAGTGTTCCTCCTCCATCCATCCATCCATCCATCCATCTCCTCCTCCTCCCCCAGTTTTCTCCTGGCCCGGCTGGGCCTTGTCTGCCTCCAAATTGAATTGTAGTCCAGCTGCGCTTCATCCACCTGTCGTCTTTCTCCTCCTGCTCACACAAACACGTGACCCTTTACTGCCTGTCTGTCCCACATGTCCTCTCGTCCTCTCTGCTGGACCCTGTGAATGTTCACCTAACTCCTGTTCTCCAACCTCTCCCTGCCATCTGTTCAGTACTTTCCATGACCACAAAGATGACCTTCGGAAGCGCCTGTCGTACACAACCCACAAATTAGAGATGGTGGAAACGGAGTTCGACTCCACCCGGCAGTACCTGGAGACGGAGCTGCGGCGTGCCCAGGAGGAACTGGAGAAGTTCACGGAGAAGCTGCGCAGGTGTGTGCGACCGCGTTACACCACCAYCATGATTTTTACAAAAAAGTATGGAATACATGGTGCTGCAGAGACAGCAAGCTTCTCTAAAAATCCAAACACATACATGCAGTTTACTCACACTGCTGCTCACAGGAAAGGGGACGGATCGTGCAAAATCTGCTTTTTTAGCTGTTAAATGCAGAAAAGTTGCATTTAGTCTCTCCTGGTGCTGCATAGATATACATTTATATTCTATTTGGGTCACATTTTTCAGCCTGTTCAGTTTTCTCTATTTTCTTTGACGTTTTCTGGGTCTATAACGACAAATTATCTATGATGGAATTGACAAAATAGGTTTGGACTTACCAACTACAATTTCCTCCTGGCTCTGGGTCCGACTCTGGCTCCAACATGTAAGACTGGATGGACAAGTCCTCTGTTGCTGACATCTTTTAATTAAATTGTAAATAAAACGTTTCTGCAAGCTAACTGGAGGGTGGGGGCTTGAACAGCAACAAAACAAGCTGCTTTGAGGCAAACTCCAGAAAAGGGAAGAAAGAGGGGCTGTTAAAGTTAGAATAAGGATTTCAGACCAAAGCATTGTAGTTCCATTTTAATAAGACACCAACGGAATGATTTAAATGCAAAAAGGAGGGATTTAAGATATAGAAAACCTTATATCTCTATAAGCGCTTCTCCTACATAATGATGCATGATATGTCTACTTTAATTCTTTATCACCTGCTGCTGAAAGACTAAGGTGGTCAAAAAAGTTTGTTCACGTGTGCATCTGTWACCAAATTTTACTTCGATTTTCAGAAGGAAATCGTTAAATTTACATCTACCCAATTCAAGATGGCTGCCGCAGCTCATCAGTATTTGCCAACACAAAAAAAGGCTGAACTCAGTCAGTTGTACAGATACTGAGCTAAGATTTGATGCGGTAGCAGCTAAGAGCCATTCACAAAACATACTGAGTCCAGACAATTCACTGTTATTTTTAGCCTGAGAGAAGAAGTGTAGTAACAGGAACATCTTAAACATGAGGAGTTATATGGTAATGGTAGTGGTTTCCAAAGTTGGGGTTGGCGCTCTACTGCACGTCCTGAAACATCAAGGTGGGGTCATGAAAATATTTTCAGAATTAGTCTAATTTAAAAATGACATTTTCTTTGCTTTCTTTGTTACAAAATAATGTGATTAGTGTTCTTAGAAATCAATTAAATTAACATAATGAACATTTTGTTTAATCAGTCTGATAACAATGCTGCAGCTGTTTTGTGGGGCAAAAAATAAAAAGTTTAGGAATCACTGCTTTAAAGGACATTAGTGCTAAAGTCTGAAAGAAATCTCTCACAAAGTACCCTAAACCCATAAAATAAATCAATTACAACTCTCTGTTAAAACCGATTTTTGGAGAAACTTGTTAGCAAGCACACCCTGTCTTAGAGTCCTGTTAAAATACTAAACATTTTTTATACAACATATATGAGTTTGACTCATTTGTCAACACATTTTAGCCAGGGCTTTTGCATGATATAAAATTTACCATCTTTGATGGATGATTTTACAAATAATGTAACTCACATAGTGAAACAAACCTTTGCGTTTCTGCAGCCTYAGTACATTGAAATAAGATAAACACTCTATTTAAACCACTTTATTTATTTTTGTCTGTAGCTATTAAGTAGTAAATAAAAGCTCCAGGGATTCTGTTGTATCAAGTCAAGCCTTTCAAACTCTTTTCATTTCCTTGTTAGTTGAGTTTAATTTTCTCCTTTCTGCTGAAGACGAGCAGCCTGACAGACTCAGATCAGGACAGGAGAAGCTGAGACGTCTTAAATAACGAACAGCATGGTGGAAGGTTTTCATGAGTTATATTTATCCTCCCTTTCCAGTGTCAGCCTCTCTCTTCAAGTGTTGCTCCGTTATTTTCATTTACATTCCTTTATCGGCTCACATCTCTTTTGCAAAGTATTTTATGTTTTTGTTGTTTTGTTTATGGCCCCCACATCCCACCCGCTCCATTTCTGTTCAGGTAATGGAGCCATAAAGGCTGCTTTATAAACACTCTCAGGCCTCGGAGACTGTATTTACACACGAGCCAAAATTTGAAAAGTGCAGTCATAAAACATACAAAAACAAGTAAACAAAAGCACCTTATGGTCCAGTTTAATCATAATTACTGATCCAAAGACTAAAAGCAACACTGATGATAAAAAATGAATTGTTTATTTTTATTTATTTTTTTTATTTAAGGATCCAAAGTGGCTATGCAGCGATCCAGAGGATCAACCAGGATTTAGAAGACAAGATGTGCCGGATGGTAGGAAAATATGCTTGATAATTAATTATTTTACAGAATCTAACATTTCAAATCACTTCTTGCTGATGAATCTAACAGAACTCCTGTTGATGTTCAGCGTTTTTCAGATCCTTTTATGCCCATCCCTACTCATTTTCAGATTTATTTCTCTGAGTTGGATTAGAGCAGTCACGCAGACATTGAAAAACTTTTAAATAATTTTAGCAAAGAAGATCATTTTTTAATGACCAAGATTGTTTTATGATAGCAATAAAAGCATAAAACATCCAAAGCATTTTAGTTTTTAAGGCCAAAGTCAAGGAAATGAATAATAATAATAATAATAATAATAATAATAATAATAATAATAATAATAATAATAATAATAATAATAATTTTATTTAAAAAGTGCCTTTCAGGACACGCATGGACACTTACAGAAAGAGTCACATTATAGAAGAATGTGTGGAAACACAGTTAAGAGACAAGCAGGCATGAGATACAGAGAACTGTATATGAATGGAGTTAAGATGAAGCAATGTTTTATATTGGCAAACAAAAGCAACAGATGTATGACTGCAAGACAAGACAGCTTTTGAGAGCAAAGTGTCTTTTTCATACAATTTAGCTTCATTTGCGTGTATTATTATTATTTTTTATTTTATTAAATCACATTCAATAAATACACCAGGAGGTTATTAGATGCCATTTTTTTACTCTATTTTCAAAATAATCAATAACCAATTATGGCAAACTAACATCTATAACAGAGGTGCCCAAAGTGGGGCCCGCGGGCCAACATTGGCCCGCCAAGCCATTTGATTTGGCCCACCAGCAGTTGTCCTGGTTGTTAGATTGTAATTATGCAACCCATTCTCACTCCCGAGTCGTCACATATTGACGTTTTTCAAAGGTCCCTTTGCGTCCAATTTTGACGCATCAGGTACCCCCCTTGCGTCATATTTTGACGGGATGGGGCGGAATCTGTTGTCGTAATTTTTCAAAGTGTAGAAAATGCACAAATAGTACCGTCCCAAAG